GGGCTCGGGGGCGCGCCGGAACCCCCGCTTAGGCCTTGGGGCGCGCCGGAGCGTCCCCCACCATTAGGGGCTCGGGGGCGCGCCGGGACCCCCTTTAGGGCTGGGGGCGCGCCGGAGCGTCTCCCCCACTACAGACTCGAGGGCGCGCCGGGACCCCGCCTTAGGGCTGAGGGCGCGCCGGAGCGTCCCCCCCATTAGGGTCTCAGGAGCGCGCCGGGCCAACCCCCAATCCATTAGGGGCTCAGGGGCGCGCCGGGACAACCCCCTAAAGGGCTCTGGGGCGTCCCGGGACACCTCTCCCAATTAAGGGTCAGGGGCGCGCCAGGACAATCCCCTAAAGGGCTCTGGGGCGTCCCAGGACACCTCCCCCAATTAAGGGTCAGGGGCGCGCCGGGTCCCCTTAGGGCTCGGGGCCGCGCCGGGACACCCCAACCCCAGTTAGGGCTCGGAGGCGCGCTGGGACCCCTCCCTTTAGGGCTGGGGTCTAGCAGCATCCTGGCAGGCTCGTTTTCTCACAAGCGACAGTCGCGGGGTCAGGGGAGTGAAAGGCAGCTTCGCCTTGCGGCTGCCCTCGCCGCTGAACCCCAAACCCCTCGGCCCCGGCGGGCCCAGACACAGGCAGAGCCGGAGGGGACCGGGCTGAGGGGGCCGGGACCCAGCTCGAGCACGTCGCCCAGCCGGCCCCGGGGTCGCGCTGCTGCGCGCGCTCGCCCTCCGGAACCAAAGTGCGGGGGAAGGTGGGGCCGGGGGCGCCTTGCCGGAGACGGACCCAGGGCCGGAACTGACGAAAGCGGCCGGAACTGGTGGCGTTGTGGGCGGTGTTCGCTGCCATGGCGCACATCACCATTAACCAGTACCTGCAGCAGGTAAGTGCAGGCTTGGGGAACGCACTGCGGCGTGGGTGGACCTCAGCCTGTCCCATCTCTGGCCTCGCACCCTCAGGCCGCTTCCTCCCGCCGCTTCGCTGCCCCTTCTCTGTCCGGGTTTTCGGGTTTTCGCTGACGGCGTAAAAACGGCAGGCTGGGCCGGAGCGGCTGCCCCGGGGTCCCTTCTCCTGGGCCGCCGTGCTGGCGAGTCGGTGTCGGCTCAGTGTTTCGGAGCTCGGATCCGCAGAATGGGGAGGACTCGTGATTTAAGTAGACACACGTGTCGTCCCTCTGGGGCACGCAGGGAGGGACCACAGGGTCGCTGCCCTCGGTGTGTGCAGTGGTCCCAGTGGATCTGAAGGGCCTGATTTGGTCAGTGTTTCGGTTGGACACTGGTGGAAGAAAGGAGGAGGAATTTGAGGCGAGAGGTGTTCCCTGGGAGTCTGGCTGCGTGGTCCAGTTGGGGGCTGAAGGCGCTACGATGTATTCACAGTTGGCAAGGCGCCTGAGGAGTTGGCGGGGCTGCCGGGGGCCCCGTGTCCGCTGAGAAGCTGATCACCTCTCTGAGGTTTGCTGATACAGTCTGTCACATCCCTGTTTCTCCCTGACACCCTGGCTTCCTTACAATGTAGTCACTGAAGCAGGGGCACTGATGGGAATCCACGTCTGCAAGGAAGCTGGGCCCTCCCTGGGGTCCAGGTCCTGTGCAGCTGAGCCATCCGGCTGGCTAGGTCGTGCCTCAGGTGCTGGGTGCAGCTCAGGTAGGTCTGGCCAAGGAAAGCTGCGGATGTGGGCCACCGCATGTCACCACGGACGACCCTGGGAGGTCGCTGGTGGAAGAGGCTTCCTGGAGCATGAGCTGGGACCAGTGAGGGCCCTCCCTGCTCACTGGCGGGACCTGGTGTCTGATCTAGGGCTTGATCCCTGGGTGACTACCATGCCCTGGTGCTTCCCACCGCCGGGGTGTGCTTCCATTTCATAGCGCTCCCCCAGTTGTGCAACTCCAAGCCCTTGTCACCTGGGGATTTCCCCTGGAGAGGGCTTCGGAGGCCTGGAAGACATTCAGAGCATTGTGCTCAAGGGTGACCAGTGGCCACAGTCCCTGTTAGCCAGAGCGAGGCATGGCCTCAGGCTCTCAGGACTGAGGCTGTGCCAGGGCCTGTGCAAGGTGAGACAGCTTCAGGAGGCTCTTGGCTTGAATGTCACGTTCACACTGAGCAGAGGGGAGCACAGCTGGGCAGGCCAGCAGGGCCCCAAGCTGATTTTCTGCCTGAGTAGCCTTGGTTGAGCCAGAGCACAGTCTGCTTTGGGGCTCCTGTGGCCAGGCAGCCCACGTGGCGCATGGAGGTCGCTGTGGAAGGGGCGCTCTCACTGGGGCTACACTGACTAAAACTGGCCAAGACCTGGGTGGGACTGGTCACTTCACTTTCTAGCCCAGGGTCAGCCCTTGATGGGATGGCGAGCACAGAAGACACGTGTGCCTGCCCTGGTCCAGAGGGCGCCCTCCCTCACCTGAGAACTGCCTCACATACGCCCCCCCAGAGCTTGCCCACCCTCTCAAGGGTGGCCTTAGAGCCGCTGGAGGCTTCTGGGGGCTGGACACCAGCCGTGGTCACAGACACCGGAAACCCTCCTCCTACAGAGGACAGGCAGGTGCCAGTGTGGCCGTCTCTGGGCCACCTTTAGCTTGTTGATGACAGTTGGCAGATGCAATATTTTTAATTCCAAAACATTGATCTCCAGCACACTAATTTTTCTCTTTCTTTCTTTATCTCTCTCTCTCTCTCTTTCTATTTCTCTTGATTTTTTCTTCTCTTTCTTTTCATTCCTTCCTTCCTTTTCTTTCTTTCTCTCTCTCCTTCTGTTACCCTGGGTGGAGTGCAGTGGTGTCATCATAGCTCACTGCAACCTCAAACTCCTGGGCTCACTCGATCTTCCTGCTGGGACTACAGGTGTCCAGCACAGTAATTTTGAAGAGCAAACCTAACCCCTTCCCAAAGCCAGTGAAGGCTCCTGGTATCCATCTATCTACCTTTTGGATGAAGTTCCTAGACCTGCGGTCAGGGCTATGAAGAGAAAGACTTAGGTTAGTGATAGCTTTTCATAGTGCTTACACTCAAGTCACACTGCGCCCATCTGTGACTTTGAAAATATTAGAGGGGAGGTGGGGACATGATGTGACCTTGAGTAGCACCCTGCGACATCACAGGGAATTGGTCATGAGGGCTGGCTCTGGAAGGCCGTGGTTTTCCTATGGAGGCATAAAACCTGTGACCGCAGCCTGGAGGTCTGCAGATGGCTTCAGCCAAAGATAAATGGATCATTCCCTGCTCACACCTCCGATTCAGATCCAGCGGGGTCCTCACCCCCTCGGGCTGTTTAGTGTCTCCCTTTCTCAAATTCCGAGGACCAATGTTGAGAAATTTACTGTGCTCACAAAGCAGCTTCAGAATCACGACACCAGCACCGCTACCCACAGAGTCTACCGAGTAAAATCTGGGATTTCTTTTGCAGTCTTTTTGTCCTTAAAATAAGGACACTCAAATCCCACAAAGTTGTGTGTTCAAAAATTACTTATATTCTTTTTCTGTATGGCTATGCTCTCCTTTGACATCTGTTAGATACGTATCTTCCATTTGTATTCAGTCCTAAGGTTGCCTTTCCTTTTTATTGTGCTCAGAAACTCCCCTTCTTTCTTTCATCTCATTGTCCCCTCCTCTGTAGAGAGCCGTCTTCGTTAGATTCTGTCTTCTCTTCTCTGTATGCCCTATTGAGAAATGTATGTGGCACACAAGCACACAGACATAAACACACATGCTTTTGTTGCCCTGTCGAGAGGCGGCATTCCACATACACTCTTTATACAGCTTGCTTTTTTCACTTAACTATATATCCTGGAAATTGTTCCACGTCGGTCCATGGAGATCTTCCTCATTGTTAAAAATGGCCACATCCCCTGCCTTAGAATAGATGTTTCCCAGTTTATTCAGCCTGTCTCCCGTCTCCAGTGTCTTGTGATTACCTGCAGTCCCTGAAGGAGTAACCAAGCGCAGGTATCTTCTGTTTCTAGTTGTAAGGTAAATCCTACAGGGGCGGGGGGTGTACTGTTTCAAAATGTAAAGGCACGTGTAGTTGGTTGAATAGTTAAGTGGCAGATTCCTTATCATGTAAGTTAGTCTTTGAAAAGGTGGCCTCAGCCTTCCTAGCCAATGCCCTGAGTCGAGACATCGGGAAGGAGGAGTTGGGTTCCTGTGTGTGTCCTGGGGGCACGTGCCTGCACCTCTGGGTGTGGACATGGGCATAGGATTGCAGGGTCAGAGGTGGATGTTTGCTTGCTTTAGTAGAAACGCCGATTTCCATAGTGGCTGCGCCAGTTCACCCCTACCACCAGTGAGCGGGCATTGCAGCGAGTCTGCGTCCTTGGCAACACTCAGTGTCGTCAGTGTTCGCCATTGTAACTGCTCCCGGGGGGCGTAGAGGCGTCTCACTGCATTTCCTTGACAGGCAGCGGGTGGGGCGGTGTCGAGGGCCTTTCTCATGCTTTCTGGCTGTTTGGATGTCCTCTCTGTGCTGTCCCTGGTCAGTCTTGTGTGGGCATAAAAGTGACACACTTAATTTTATTGTAGTTGAATTATGCTACATGTGCAGCTTTATGCTCAGCTTTTCTTTTCACTTACGTAGTTAGAATTTTTATAGTCTTTTTGTAAATATAATTTACAAGCATATTTGGTTTTCTAATTACAGGACGCCTGTCGTGGCACAGGCCTGCAGTGTGGAGGGAGATGGGCTGAAAGGCTCTGGGCCTGGGGCCCAGTTTGAGTCAAAGCCTTTTGAATTTTGGACATATGTGGGTTTTAAGCTGAATTTTTTCCCGCCACAAGCTATATAAGTAAATTTTCAGATATATGTTAGTGTGACCAAGTAAAACTAGAACAATTCATCATCGTTAATAACCAAATAACACCACTGCTTTTTCTTACCTGCTTTACCTGTTTTCTTGCCTCTGGAAGATATCATTTTGAAATGCAGTTATGTTTACTGGCTAAACAGAATCTTGACGTGGTGCATTTTGAATATTCTGACTCCTTTCAAACTAGGGAACATGCATTTAGTGGTATACAATGTACTGTTTAGGTTCTATTAGAAGAGAATGCTGTACTTTCTACTTAGGTTTCCCTTTCAAACGTTTCAGGTGTATGAAGCGATCGACACCAGAGACGGAGCATCTTGTGCAGAGCTGGTGTCCTTCAAGCATCCTCACGTTGCAAACCCGCGGCTTCAAGTAGGTGGAAGAGTTACGCACCCAGGTGTCAGGAGAGAATTACAGGGTGACAAGTGCCTTAAGAGAAATTTAGGAATAAAAGAAAATTAATATTGTTGCTCTCATTTGAAAATTTCAAAGTTCCTTCAGGATTTCTTAATTGCAGTTCATGCGTAGAGCACTCACTGTGTGTCACGTCCCGCACCAGGATGTGCAGCTCTTACTCCTGTGTTTGATTCCTGCACAACTCAAAGTATGCAGCAGTGAGGTGGCATATTGGGGTCCCTGGGCGGGGGGCACGGGGGAGCTGAGACTTTGTCCAGGCCTGTTTGTCCCAAGCCCCAAGGCCGGCATGCACCACAGGCGTCTCCATTTGATTTGCGTTCTCATTCAGGACGAGGCCGCAGCCCAAGGCCCAGCCCGGGGTTGTCCGTGGAGTTTTACTGGAGCAGAGCAGAGCTGCTGGTTTGCGTGTCGTTGATGGCTGCCTCCCTGCTAAGCGGCCCAGATGGCTCCGTCTACAGACATCTGTGGCCTGCAGAGCCTGAAATATTTATTTTGTGGCCTTTTCTGGAAAGCCTTTGCCAACCCGTGCTTGAAAATACGAGTATTCTTGATGAGGATGAGTGATACTGAAGTGATTTTTTTTTTTTTTTTTTTTTGAGACAGTCTTGCTTTGTTGCCCTGGCTAGAGTGAGTGCTGTGGTGTCAGCCTAGCTCACAGCAACCTCAAACTCCCAGGCTCAAGCGATCCTTCTGCCTCAGCCTCCCAAGTAGCTGGGACTACAGGCATGCGCCACCATGCCCGGCTAATTTTTTCTATATATTTTTAGCTGTCCAATTAATTTCTATTTTTGGTAGAGACGGGGTCTCGCTCTTGCCCAGGCTGGTCTCGAACTCCTGAGCTCAAACAGTCCGCCTGCCTCGGCCTCCCAGAGTGCTAGGATTACAGGCATGAGCCACCGCACCCGGCCCCAAAGTGATATTTTTTCTAGAAAATATTGTTGGCATTTTGTAAAGTCCTGTTTCCTCATTGATATCCGTTATCATATTGGCGTGTGTTCCCATTGGGGAGCGAAGTTTTTCTTTTGGAAGAAAAACGGGCTTATCTGTTGGTGATTATATTTGCAGTGTATGGACCGTACCTCAGACCAGGTGAATCAGTCTCTGGGATAGCAGCAGGCCTTTTTTTTTTTTTTTTTTTTTTTGAGTCAAGCTACCTAAGTGATTCTAACGTGCAGACAACACTGAAAACCACTGCTCTAAATAGAAGCTCGTGCCAGAGACGCAGTGAAACTCAGGTTCAGCTTGGCCAGAATACTCCGTGGCTGGTGCCGTGTGCTTCGCGTTGCGGCGCATCAGGGCACGCCCATCTGTCTGTCCCACGGCAGTCTAAGGCTGACCCCTTCATTGTGAAGCTCCCCATTAACCTCTATCTGGTGGTTCCCTCACGGCCGCAGTCCGGATCAGCTATTTCAGTAGGGCTGCGAAACGGCGGTCTTTCCGGTATTGTCATCCACCTTCCTACATGCGGGTGCACGTATGTTTATCATGTCAGTCTGGACTCGTGGTTTTTTAAAACAATTCAATGTTGTGTAATCCACTGTGTATTAGTCAGGATTCTCCGGAGAAACAGAACCAGCAGGATATATCTTTATCTATATTTACATCTAGGGAGATTGATCGTGAGGAATCGGTCACGTGCTCTGGAGGCTGGAGACCGGGAGAGCTGGCGGTGGGTTCGGCCCACGTCCCAGAGCCCGGGAGCCGGGGCCAGTGGCGGGAATCCCAGTCCAAAGGGCCAGAGAAGTACCTGGCCTGTTCCCTGGCCCCCCGTGGGCAAAACTGAAGTATATTCACGGGCTTCTTGTTCACTTGAAAGATTGGTGAATACTCGTTGAAGCGATGAGCCTTTTATCTAGAAGTGCAGATCCCTTGGAAACGGGTCTAAGTCTCACTCTGTACATGGAGTTCTCTCTGTGCCTGTTGATCTAATCTTTGCCGTTTTTCTTACAAATTAGATGGCCTCTCCAGAAGAGAAGTGTCAGCAAGTTTTGGAGCCCCCTTACGATGAGATGTTCGCAGCTCATTTAAGGTAATCTGTTGGTGAGGAAGAAAAACACACAAATCTGGAAATTTCTGAATTGACCAGGAATTTTATCTTGCATCATCTTATACTTGAAGGAGCAAATAATTGACTTTCAAAAACTAGAAAAATGCATTTATAATTTCACTTTGGTAAAGGCTGTTGTGTAATAGTGTAAAAAAAAAAAAAACTCTTAATATTTATCATGTTGACTGAATAGTGTTTTTAATTTAGTAGGGTATGGAGCCTAACAGTCGACTTACCTTTTTCATGGAAATATGTGTATTTTTGAACCTCTTTGCCTCACTGGGAAATGAACTGGAGTTGAGAAAGCAAATAAAATACAGCTTTTTCTTTATCCTTTGTATCTCCTGCCTTTATTCCTAAAGCATCAATCCAGGCAGAAGTTTGTGTCCTAGAGCCAGTGAGCTGTGACTGCCTTGTCCAGAGCAGGCCGGGCTGGGGGACAGGGTGGGCTCTGTGAGCCCCACAGGGTCTTCGGAAGAGCTGGGTGCCACTGTGCCTGGGGGGGGCTGCAGGTTTCTTGCTCTGCGCAGCAGGCGCGGGGTTCCAGGTTTGGCAGTGAACTCACCGTACCCAGCAGGAGTCCGGGTAGAGCGTCACGACGAGCCCACCACCAGAGTGCAAGGGCCACACTGTGACAGTGTGTCCGTCCCTGCTGCAGCTAGGTTTCTGTCTCAAAACGTGATGTGGGATTTCATTTTATACCAACCTGATTCGGTTCATATAGTCGTTTGTTACTTCTGCCTTGACCCTTTGTCTCTTGCCGGGCGGGAGTTTCCAGCTTCCGTTCCGGGATCAGCTGGGACCTGGGGCGGCTGGGCTGAAGTGAGCCGTGCAGTCTGCGTAACGATGTCTGGGTTATCAGGTCTGCGCTTTCTGACGCCCTGGCTCTCAGCCTCCACGTTTCTTTTCCAGGTGCACGTACGCGGTGGGGAACCACGACTTCGTAGAGGCGTACAAGTGCCAGACCGTGATAGTCCAATATCTTTTGTGGTTTGTGGCCGCTGTCCAGTGTATAACAGATACAGGGGATTGTTTGGGGTGTGAGATCTTGAAATATTGGGCCAGTTGTTCATACCTGCAGTCAGAAAGGAATTAAAATATTTTGGAAGAAAAACTCATTTTAGCTATTTCACTCAGCCACTTAATTTAGCATGGAGCTAAAGACTCATTCAATTACGTATATAATAAGGAAGAACACTGGTTAAAAGGAAGGATTTATTTAGTTCTGTTGAGAAGAATAATATTTTGTAAATGTTGTTACAGGGACTGGCTAAGTCCCCTTGGCGAAATATCAAAACTCCCGAACTCAGGCGTAGAGGGACAGGAGTGGACTCAGACACGCTGTCATTCAATGGAGGTTGCTACTTTTATGCCACTTTCTTACTTACGTCCTTAAATATCATCTTCCAGTTAGGGTCCTCATCAGTGAGGTTCTGAGTGTCTGTATCTCTAGATTTTATTTTACGCAGAAGAGAGTGGGCTGCTAGCTAGCTAAGTCTCCTTGGAATTCAAAAATTGTATAATGGGTAAAATGCATTTTATCCTACAGATTCTAAAGTCCTTAAATGTAACTTGTGATCATCTGGGCTCAGAGAAATCAAATAAAATGTTTGAAACTGCAGATTAAAGAAATCTAGTAACAAGAAGTCTTTCTTCATTTGGAGGAAGTTATGTATGAACTAAATGTATCTAGCGTACTTGTACCTGATACACAGGTATTTATACTGGAGGCTTATGCCTTTCCTTCCTTCAAGAACTTATTCCTCCGTGACAGAGGCTGCTAGAGGGCGAGCTTTTCCCCTTACAGCTCCAGCCCCGTCTTCTTCATTTTTACCAAACGCAGCATCGTTTGAACTTCTTGTGTGGTGCCTTCCTTAACATGGTACATCATTCCTCCGGGCATTCCAGGCCCACAAAGAAGAAAACTGGTAAGCGTCAACAGAAGCAGCTGGAAATTAGCAAGTAGAAATTTTTTTTAAGCAGAAACTTCAAAAAAATTTGTTTTAAATAAATATGTCTTGTATTTTCTATGTGGATATTTGATACCAGTGTGTTGGCATATGGTAATATCAAGAGGAATCATGGAGGTATAATCGTCTGTGTCAATTTAAATGGTAGATCGGCCAGATTGTTTGCCGTGTGTCTATGTAAATCTAAAGTATTATTTTTATTTCAGTACTTCCATGCCCCTAAATATTTATCAAATACTATTTTGTCCTTCATTCGTCAATTTTTAACTTTTGGTTTTAAATTTTGGATAAAAGAGGTAGACCAATTATAATTCATTGTGTGATATAATACATCATATTGGGGCATTATAAATTCTGAATTTTATGATTCATTAACAAACTATAGGTAAATACTGAAATTTTGTTTAAACTTAAATAACCAAAGGCCTTTTAAAAAAGAAAAACCCACCTTTTTCCTGTGTTAAATGAAGATCTGCATACGAAAGGAGTCCAGCATTGCCAGCTAGATGTCAAAGTTGTTTGAGGGCATACTGTGTATTACACACTCTGGTTCCTGTTAGGAAATCTTACCAAACCCCATCTTTGTTTAATGGTGCTGTTGGGATAGTGGTGGGGAGTTGAGGGGAAGGAGGGTTCCCTGCGAAGCTGAAGCGCCAGGGCGGGGTGTGTGGCCAGCCTCACGCCGGAGTTTTGGGGGGGTGTGGACTCCATTTTGGGGAGCAGCTGGGGACGCAGGTGTTCTGCCGCCAGGTGGTGGAGTCTCAGACCTCACAGCCTCTTCACCCGAGTTTGCTTTTTGCCCTGTAGGGCTCTGCCGGTCATGTATGCGGTAGCGCTAGACCTTCGAGTATTTGCCAATAACGTAAGTTTAATTTCCTTATCACTATTGTTTTAAAACTAAAACTTAGTGACCATCTGTTGCTTAATTTCATGTTACTCTTTCCCAGAGTTTTGCATCAGTGGGGTGGGGTGTGCCTGGTAGAGGGAGCAGAAGAACGGGAGGCAGCCTGACTAGTTACTCTTTCCGGGTCGAGGCAAACAGATGTAAACAAACGTTTTCTCAGATCTGCCCACTGTCGGTATAGCCAGAGATGTTTGCGTATATGGTTAACCATTTATGGCATGTGTTGTTTTTTATTTTAGAAAGGAGGGGAACAACAACAAATGAGCGATTCTGTATTCTCTTCCATTCCTAAGATGTAGCCTGTCCCCTGACTTAAAGAATTTAAGAAAAAGAAAAAAAAAAAAAGAATTTAAGGCCAGACACGGTAGCTGACGCCTGAGATCCCAGCACTTTGGCATGCCAAGGTGGAAGGATCGCTAGAGGCCAGAAATTCAGTACTACCCTGGGCAACATCGTGAGACCCCATCTCTAAAAAAAAAGTTTTTATAAAATTAGCCGGGCGTGGTGGCGCGTGCCTGCAGTCCCAGCTACTCTGGAGGCTGAGGTGGGAGGATGGCTGGAGCCCAGGAGTTTGACTGCAGTGAGCTGTGATCACACCACTGCACTCCAGCCTGGGCGACAGAACAAGACTCTGTCTATAAATACGAATAAAGAAATGAGAACTGTGCTCACTGTGGATTTGGGCAGCGGCTTCAGGTTTCTCTGGTGTGAGGGAGGAGCCTGGATGTCATGGAGGTGACTTCCTCTCGGGGTCCACGGAAGCCCCAGTTATGGAGCAGCAGTTGTCAGCTTTTTGGTCTTAGGACCCTTGTACGGTTCTAAAAATTATTGATAACTTTGGTTCCAGACAAGACGAAGTAAATTTCTCTGCGTTCCTCCCGCGAAAAGCATTGACAGCCCTGGGAGTTCCCGTGCGAGCGTGGCTCTCGCAGGCGGAGGGAGGGTCTGGGGCCCTCGGGTCCTGCTTGCCTCCTGCTGTGGACTGGCGCCTGGGAGCACGGCAGGCGGCCGCGGAAGCACTGAGCGAAGCAGGCAAGGGGGGACAGCCCAGCGAGATGGCGCCTTCGATGGAAGTGTCCTCTCCAGCGCCGCGCCCCACGCAGAGGCCGGGGGGCCGCCTGGATGTCCAGTGCCCAGGGTGGTGCCCCTGCTTCTCCGCGTGCGCGGCGTCAGCGGAGGCCGTTCATCTGAAACCGGAGGGGTGAGGTCCGCAGTCTCATCACGTGATGCCCAGATGTCTGGGCACAGTGAAAGCCGCTGCTCACACCGAGAACCGGGAGACCCTCAGCTTTCTGAGATTGTAAATGAGAAATGACATTCAACAGACAGCAGCACTGAGACTGCGCAGACGCCGGGCTTACCTCACGAGCACCGCAAAGCCGCCATCCGAAAACGCTTCAGCGAGCAGTTGGCGAGCACGCTTGAAACAGACGAAGACGTCAGACGTCTGCAGGGAAAGGGAAACATCAAGAAAGCCAAATGGAAACTTCAGAGCTGGAAAATATGTTAACTGGTGACCCCAGAGAGATTTTTTAAAAAAATTGTTTTAAGGGAGCCCCCGAGAGGTTTACTTATTTCATTAACTAATTTATTTACATTTAGAGATTGGTCTTGCCGTGTTGCCCGGGCTGGCGTGCGCCGACCACTCACGGCACAACCACAGCTCACCGCAGCCTCCACCTGCTGGGCTCGAGCGTCCTCCTGCCTCAGCCTCCGGGTAGCCGGGACCACAGGTGCCACCACGCCCGCCTTTGTTTGCTCCTGTTATAGCCACGTGTATTTACTGTATTAGAATTTTTAACTGGAAAAATGTTTAAATGTTCATTTTGAAGTAACAACAGTAAACCTTTTATATGTTAATGGACTTTTTAAATAAAAAACTGTATTTTCAAGACAAAAAATACACTAAGAAGGGTGGCCTTGTTTACTCGTGCTCTCGAACGTCTACTGTGACGGAGCTGTCGGGACCGTCGTCTGCGCCGCGCTGGCTCTACTGCAGGCTGCTGTCTGACGAGTGCGGGAGACGCTCTGGCCTCACACAGCGCGGATGGAAAAGGAGAATTTCAGCGCACTTTGCGATCAGTGTGGATGACTGATAGGGCACCGCAGCTCGCAGAGGCAGCGTCTTAAAGGGGGACGACCGCGTGGCCTCGGAAGTGCAGCTCGGACTCGCTCTGCCTCCACGCGGCGATGCGCCGCTGCCACGCGCCGTGAGCGGATCTTTTGCCCACGCGTGATTTTGTAATATCACGTACGGGTCCTGCCCTCGTGCGTTTGAGCTGCTGTGACAAGACACGACAAACTGGGCGGCTTAGAGGCGACACATTTATCTCTCACAGTTCTGGAGCCCGGAAGTCCAAGACCCGGTCACCAGCAGATTCAGGGTCTGGGGGGCTCCCCTTCCTGGTTCGTGGACTGCCTCCTCGCTGTCCTCCCGTGGTAAAGGGGCGAGGCAGCTCTCTGGGGTCCCCTTCAGAGGGCACTGATGCCACCTGTTGGGGCTGCGCCCGCAGGACCTCATCACCTCTCAGAGGCCCCATCTCCAAGTGCCCTCTCCTGGAGGGTTGGGATTCCACCATGTGAATTTAGGGGGTCACAGCCTTCGGACTGGAGGTCACTTGGAAAATCTTGGCTCACCGAGTTGTGCGTCAGCTCCAAATGCTGACACAACTTCGTTATGTTAAACCAGAAACAAAAACCCAGCGTTTGTCGACATCTCCAGCGACTTTCTCAGAAAAGTCTTGGAGGAGCAGGGAGCTGCCTATTTTTCTTGAAAGTGCAAATGTTGTCACTGGCCACAAGAACTGTGAGTTGTTTGCCTGGAAGTGACGATTCGTGTCGTTCACTTTGGAATGGATGTCCGTGTCTGTCAGTGGTTCCGGAGAAGTAGCCAGTCCAGCTCTTCTCAGGCAGTCACCACACGCCAGTGTGCGGCAGAAGCACTGTGTGTGCACGAGAA